CACCTCTGAGCTGAGCTCTGGCTTCCTCCCTGGCAGTCATCCTTTTCTAGCTGTGCTGACCTGTTCTAAATCACAAGCTGTGCCGTATCCCTCCTGGAGCCTTTGAGCTTGCTCTGGCCTCCATCTGGAATGCTGGGTAACAGCAGCCTCTTACTGTTCAGTTCCTCTTCAATGTCACCTTCTCAGGGAGGCTTTCCCGTACCATCTCATTCTCACCTTCCCCTCTGGTCCCATCACCCTATTTTATTGTTCATGACATGTATGAGTTCCTGAAATCGCTGGGATCATTAATTTCTGGTGCCAGTGTGTAAGTTCTGTAAGAGCGGGGCTCTTGTCTTTCTATCACCTGTATTTTCAGTTCCTTAAAAAGAGCCTGCCACATGGTAGGCAGTGATAAAAATAGATCTGTGTCCTGAATGGATGGATGGTCTGTGAGTATTTTAGGCACAGAACCTGCCTAACACACTAGCATAGCAATCTGAACCCTTTCTGTTCTGTAGCAGGAAATTTAGCATGACAGCTCTGAGCTTATCTCCGGAACCTGACAACTCAGGGTTGCAGTTCAGCTGTACTGCTTCCTAATTTTGCCTGACCTTGGTAAAGTGAATTCCTTCATACACTTTAGTTATAGGAAAGATTGCCTACTCAGTAGGGTTGTTTGAGAGTTCAGTGAAGTAATCTGTCAAAATGCCTAGCCCAGTACTTAACTTACGCAAATATTACAGAGATCAGACCTGGTGCTGTTTGTTAGTCATGTCCCACTGTCAGGCCCAGGTGACCATTTAGAACTATTGAGCCCTGAGCCACAAACCTGGGCTGTATCTTTTGGGGATTAAATCACAAAAGAGCTCATTGGCCCTGAATTAAGGAATAGTAGAAAGCAGTTTTCAGAGATACAGGATGAGAAAAAGAGAAAATATTTGGGGGAGCAGTGGATATTAGAATGAGACTTGCCTCTGAGTCATCCTACAAATGGTGTAGCTGATGTCCAGGATACTTTTAATGAGAACAGTCATCTCAGGGATGTCAGATTTATGCATTCAAGCTCTGGGACATTGTCTTTTTCTTAAAGTTCTGTCTGAACTCTAGAGCCAGGGAATTTTTTACTTTTTAAAAGTATTATTGTTATCATTATTATTTGGTACCAGGAATTGAACTCAGGACCTCGTGTTTGCTAGCAGGTGCTGTGCCACTGAGTTACATACTCGGCCATGAAAAATTTACTTTAAAAGCTTTCCTTTCATTCTGAAACATTACTGGTCAGCATGAACTTTGCTAAGATATCCACTAATATTTACCAGGGGTTGGGACCAACTCTCAACATGGATCTTGGGGAGCAGAAGGAAGCAAATTGCAGTGGCTTTTGTAGTCCTTTGGGCAGTTTATTCCTTTGAGGATTGCATGTTTTTATACATGCATTGGGGGTGAGCTAAAAGTGGTGGGGAGAGAAAAATTATACCTTAGTGATAGACAGTCAGAGAATTATGTGAGGTGGCTGTAGTGTCTGGCTTCTCCTGAGCCCTCAATTTACATTTCATCCAGAGAATTTAGAAATAGAAATAATTTATAGTCTGAGGTTATAGCCTGTTAACATCTTATGTACTACCTTTCCTTGGAAGTTTCCCTGTTCCTTTTTGACTTGAAGGTATACCACCGTAAGCTATTACTGCCTTTGGTCATGTGGCAGTTTCCTTTCAGTTTATTGATTCTTAAAGCATTGCCATAAGTTAAAAACTCATTGTGTTCTACTGAGTTTTACTTATTTAACCCTCCTTTTCCTGCATTTGGAATTCATGCCCTGAAATTCATCTTGGCATCCCTCATAGAGGGACATCTACAGCATTGGTAGAGGGACCTGAGTAAGACCATGGCCATCTTCTTTTAGTCATTTATGTAGCTATTTTAAAAAGGAAAAAGAGCTTGAGATGCAGCTCAGTGGTACAGCACTTACCAGGCATGAATGAAAGCCCACAGCACCACAAATAAAAATAGAAAACAAGGCCACACAATAGACAGTGATAGGAAATAACATGAAAAGTATACCTCTGTGTAAAGAAAGCAAGATGCAACTTGAAGTTAAATTGATACACATAGGTATGATAGGGCAGGTGAAATGGAGAAATGTTATTCTTTTCTTGTTAAAATAGTGAGAATTAAAAAAACGTTGAAACAGGAATAATTTTCTTATTTTGTGGCTTTGTCACTTAATTCTATGTTTTTTGCCACTGGACCACACATAAGCATTATCTGTGCAACTGTTAGTGATGCAGTGATGAGGAACTGCTGCTGCTTACCAGGCTCAGGAACAAGCGCCTCCAGCCGTGTAACTTTGGGCTGGATTACGCAGAAATGACACTGGCTACCTCTTCACCTGCCTCCCCGCAAGACTGTGCTCCGTCTCTGGCTGACCTTGTTCCTTTGACGCTACCGTTCGCTTCATCTGTCGTGCATCGGCAGTTATCTGCTCAACTCACAGACTAGTCTGATTTTCCATATTTGGATAAACTCTGCTCACCTGCTGGTAGATACCTGTCTCTGATGAATGTCTAGTCCTGGCCGAGCAGAAGGCCTCTTTACATGATGATAGGTAGAATCTTCCCTTGCTGCTTTGTCAGAGTTTGAAGGAAGATTCAGGAAAACTGAAGTCTTGGCCTGAAGATAGGTCATGGAACTGTGAATGTTTGCCATAAATCGAAGTGACTTTTTTATGAGAGCTGACCAATATGACTATATGATCTGAAGTTTAGGTTGGAGCATCTTCTTATTCTGCAAATGTCTTGGTTACTTCTATGACCAATTGTATGTGATTCCCCACCACCACATACACATAGACATAAGCACTTCAGCTCGCCAAACTGCAGTTGGATGTTGCTGTTGTTCAGTTCTGACATTATCCACCTAGGGTTACTCCTGGCTTCAGATCCCACAGATTAAAGGCTCAGGCCCACAAAACCATTGCCCATATCAGCTGTCAATTGCAAATCCCTGGAATTTGTGACCACTGGCTCCCAGAGCTGAGAGAACACACTTTGTTTGTGTTTACCAGTTTGTTGTAAAGGTTATTAAAAGGATACTGATGAGTAGCTAAATAAAGACCTAATGGTGTTTATTATCTGTCTCCCTAGTGGAAGTTAAGTTCCATGAAAGCGGTGTCTAGTTTTATTTGCTGCTGGCATGATGCTTCTCCTGTATGGAGTGCCCACCCTCTATGAGTATGAGATTTGTAAACCCCGTTGTAGAGGAAGCTCTCTAGTTGATAGTACCAGGACACTCTGGGCTGGGTTTAAGTCAGTCACTTTCCATGTGAAAACTGTCTTTATGTCCATAATGACTGGAAGATGAGGCTATTCTAGTGGTTCCTGTCTTGCTTTTGTCCTGCTATGAGTGCAGATTGGTCTTGGCTCTGTCAGAACTGGGCTTTTGGCCCTTAGTGAGGAGGAGACAGGTCATGCTACACTTGTCTAATAGTGTGTTAGCTATTTATCACTATGACAGAATACTTGAGAATAACAACTTAAAGAAGGAAAGTTGTATGTTGGCTTAGTTTGAGCATACTCAGCTGGCTCCATTGCATTAAGCTTGTGGTGAGGCAAAACATTGTGGTAGAAGGGGTGCGGAAAAGGTCTAGTCTCCCAGGTCATGTTTCCGTGATCTGCTCCCTTCCGTCACCTCCCAGGAACAGGGTGCTGATAAGTTAGAGCCCTCATGGAGTCACCTCCCCAAAGCCCATTGACCACCACGCCTTCAACATGGTGAGACTTTTGGGGAGGCAAATCATGTCCAAACTATAACAAGTAGCTTGGCGCTAGCAAAAGCTACCATTTTGAAGTGCACAATAATCTTAATGTTTGGTACACTCACAATATTGTGCAATTATCATCGTTATCTAGTTCCAGAGTATTTTTCCTCACCCCAGAAAAGAAACCCTGTTTCATTAAGCAGTCTTTCCTCAACCCTTCTCCCTTGCAGTCTCTGCTAACTTCTAATCTCCCTTCTGTCTCTACAGATTTGCTTAGTCTGGGCATTTCATATAAATAGAATGATATAATGTGTGCTTTTGTATCTGGACCATTTCACTTAGCATGATGTTTTCTAGATTCATACATGTTGTCAGGGCTTTTATTTCTTTTCAAAACTGAATGATATTCCATTCTATGCGCAGAGACCACATTTTTTATTTTTGCATCCATTAATGAATGTTCAAATTGTTTCCACTTTTTGGGTGTTACTCTTCATATTTATGTATGTTTTTGTTAAAATATCTGTTCTCACTTATTTTGGGTATGTACCTAGGAAATGGAATTCCTGTGCCATATGGTAATTCTGTTTAACATTTTGAGTTACTACTAAACTTTTCCAATGTAGCACTATTTTAGATTTCCTCTACCAATGCATTTCTGCAAATGTTTACCAATAATTTTGTTCTGTTTTTTACAAATTATAGCCATCCGAGGTATTTCATTGTGGCCTTGATTTGGATTTTCTAATGACCAGTGAAAAGTGTCTTTTCATGTACTTATAGAGCTTTTGTGTTTTTTCTTTGAGCGTAGCTTTGTTTTGATACTTTCTTTGTATTATAATTATATGTGAGCACTTTTCTCTGTGGATCATAAGTTACCTTATTCACAAAATGGAACTAATAGACTCTTCCAGAAAAAGATTGACTTTTGAAAACTAACACTTTGCTCAAATCTGTGTTAATGTAATTTTGAAATTCTTTTTGCCTTCTTGACAAACCTATTTCATTTTAAAATATAGTATGTAAACCTCAGGCTAACTTTTCTTAATTATTGAATTTAATTCCATTTTAATTTTGTAAATTTTGATAGCTCTCAATCTATCACATGACTGTGTGCTGAGTCTTTTAGTTTCAAGCATATTTAAAGGCAGTTTGTTTCTTAGCTGCTATAGTACCTAGGCAGGTCTATGACTTTTTGCTATTTTAGACTAAGTGGTGACTGTTGAAAGTAATTTTCATTTGCTATTTGTTTCCTTTTCAGAAAAAGTTGCCTTTGACAACATTGGCTCAGTGTCTGATGGAAGGGTCAGCTATCCTGGGTGATGACACACTTCTTGGGTAAGGTGACACTATGTAAGAGTTTGTGCTCAATCTGGGAAAGTCCCCTTTCATTAAAAGGGGCCTGAAACTCCTCAGGAAGTATGTCACACATGTGAATTCTGCCTAAGGACTTGGGTGGGAAAGGAGAAAAATGTTACCAGTGAGAAATAAAAACCTTCAGCTCCAGTTATTATCTGCACAGAAGAACAAGTCCCCATGGAAAAATTAACATAGAACCAGTAAAGGACAATTAAAATCCCTAAGGCTTCAGTAGAAGCAAATATGTAACCTCTCAAAGTCATGTCAGAACTCATGGGATTCCCAAAACAAGCCTAGCTGATTTTGAGCTCACAGTAAAACACACTAAAAATAGAATCTTCCCAAGACAGCATCAGCATATTTTCCTACAATCAGTACAGTACTCTAAGAAGTAAAAATAGTAAAATGATGCTAAAGGAAATATACAATGATTGTTTAAAGTGAAACTTTACAGTGGACTAAAGATAAGAATAATCCCTGACAAAAGAATCAACAACATGAAAAAAGAAGGGGCAGACCTGAGGAAATACCAAATGAACTCCCTCTGTCCTCAGTACTGGGGATTGAACCCAGGGTCTTTGTATTGAACTGTCTTGCTAACCCCTTTTAATTTTTTCTGTTTTGAAACAGTGTCTTCCTAAATCACTAAATTGCCCAAGATGGGCATGGATTTGGGATTGTCCTGCCTTAGCTTCACAGACTACTAGGGTTACAAGTACCCTAGTACCACCACTTTCAGCTAGAACTGCTTAAAATTGAAATTACACTGGTAATTTTAAAATTTGCTCAAAATACACTGGAGATTATACAAAATAAAGAATTAGTGAACTTATAGACAGATCTGAAGTTGCCAGCTAAGAAGAACGCGGTGAAGGACAAGAGCTAAGGCTGTAGACATTATTAAATTGAGAGGTGTGGAGACGGAGTGCAAAAGCACAATATGCTGTCTTTTGCGAGATCCTGAAAAGAAAGTAGGGAGAAGTGGAGTTTGTTGTTGAATTTTTCTTTTCTAGATTGACATAAAAACTGTTTTGAAAATTAGACAGCATAAAAAGTCCTGCTGAGATCAACAAAAAGAAACCCATCCCTGAGCATATTGCAGTGAAACTGCCCACAAAAAAAAACAGAAAGAAATTTAATATCAACCCAAGAAAAAAAAATTACCTGCTAATAAAAGAGCAGTTAAACTGATAAACTATTCATCAGGCAAAGTAAATGCCAGGAGATTAAAGGAGAATTATTTTTAAGAACTGAGTAAAAATGGAAGAAATCTAGAATTTTATGATAAACTAAATAATTATGCAGAATAAGGAGAAAATAAAGGTTTTCCAGGTAAAAATTTACTACTTACAAGTAAGCTTTGCTTGTATAGTAGACTACTACTAGCAATTGCTGCTTGCATGTTCTTTCAGAAGAACTAGTTAAGACTGTATGAAAGACATTAAGTGTACAGGAAAGTTGTGAAATGCAAGCGACAAGGTAAAATTTAGTGAAAAGTTGCTGAATGTGTATTAGGGAAGGAGAGAACTTCTTTGTCTCTCCTCTAGACAAGCTAGGTTTTGTGGTCAGGATTCTGCAAGTCATATTGACCAGACAGTTATCAAAAATAAGTGCGTACACATTTTATTAACATGTGTAGTCCCAGCGCTCAGGGAGTCGAGGCAGGAAGATTGCCACAAGTTTGAGGCCAGCCTGTACTACATACCAAGTTCAAGGCCAGCCTGAGCTACATAGCAAGACCCTGTCCCCCCTCAAAAAAGGTGTAGTAATACATACATATGGAAGAAAAGAACACAGAAATGAATTATAAAGGAGTGCTTAAAATGTGGGCTTGTGTAGCATCACAAAAGAACAAACCAGTTTTGGATAATTAACAAGACAAAAGGAAAGAGTTTCTTGGCACATATATAGAAAGGTAAATAGGGCTGGGGGTATAGCCCAGCAGCAGAAGCTCCTGCCTGGCAAGTGCAAGGTCCTGAGTTCGATTCCCAGTACCAAAAAAAAAAAAAAAAAAAAATAGAAAGGTAAATGTATGGGGAAGGTAAATATATGGCTTAATAATGGACGACAAAGGTTAGTTAATGAGATTGGTTATGTGGGTTCCTTTGGCTCTGTCTTGGGGCTAGCAAGGGTCTGGAGTTGTTACCAGCATTTCATTTATGTTCTTTCTGTTAGAGAGAGGAAGAGAATACCTTTGTAAATATATTTCTTGTATTTAGGCAAACAGGGGAGGGCAGAGAGCTACTGTGTTTTTCTTTTCTCATTCTCACTTGCCTTCAATTCCAAATAATCCTTATGCCAAAGTGGTATATTTTGGGGTGGCATATTCTGCTACCCTTCAATATAAAGTAATTATAAATAAAGATTGAACTAAAACCCAACAGTATAAATGATTCATTTGGGGGGATTAGATAACAATAACATGAAATAGTGAATGGGAAACCAGTATTCCAAAGCTCTTGTATTGTTTGAAAGGATGATAAAGGTATATTAATTTAAATTTACAGTCAGGTGTACAGGTTAAGAAAGTAAGAGTATCCACAAGAAAAACAGAAATAGAATGTGTAATTCCAAACAGACAAAAAGGGAAATAAATAGAAGGAGGCTAGAAAAAAAAAAAAAACAAAGAAGGATCTAAAAGAGAACAAGATAAACAAGCGTGATAAATAGAAAACAGCATAATGGTGATAGCAGTACTGCTCGTGTGTCTTTAGTTAGCACAGATGAGGAAGGAAGAAACTCGGCTGTTTAAAGTATGGAGCATCTCCAGGAGATACGTGTGAGACGCTGTTGCATAGCGTTCCCAAGAGGCATCCCTGAAGCACTATGACGCAACAAGGCTGGAAGTGACGGTGACAGACTGTTCACTCCCTGCCAAAATCCACCAAAGCAATAGTGAAAAGGGAGTTCTTTTTGTCTTAAAAGACTTAAAGCCATCATGGCAGGAAAAACAAGTAGCAAGGCAACAGCAGTGTAATTTTGTGAACTATAAATCAAAAGAATAACTGGGAATTGATTTGGCAAGTCCCAGACATGTGTTATTCAGTCCAGAAGCAGGATGTGCAGAGATCCAACATAGTGGGTGCTGTGAAATGCTGACAGTGCCCCGCACTGGTGGAAACCTTGGGAATGGTGAGTCTTTGGAGTGGAGTGGGTGGGTAGAGTAAAGAATATGGGCTGAAAGCTTTCCAGTTGTCACTTGGATCACTGGATTGACAAGCCACATCTCCAAGAGACATTCATTTTCCCCACTCCCATCCCAGCAGGGGTCTGGAGCTTAACTCTCTAGAATGAGTAAAAGGAAGCATCTTTAGAATGGAGGACAGAGAACAAGAGGGGCATCAAGCAATGTAGCAGAGGATCAAGAGACGCTGACCATACCAGATGCAGAGACTCTCAGCCCACCTCCCTGCCCATAAGCCCCCCGGGCTTTTATCTTCTAGGCAGGAAATTAAAAGGGTCTTCTCTAGGGAATCTGAGCAGTCCGGAAGGAAGCTCCAGAAAGCTCCAGAAGACATCAGGGGAGGGCTGTGTGCTGATGAATAGCCTAGCCAAATCACCCTACAGCCATGCTCACAGCTAAGAGGCTTCACCCCATTGTCTTTGCTTGGTAGTCTCCGCCCTTAAATGTAGATGGGCTGAAAAGATCTCTAGATCATTAAAGACAGTCTCTGACCTAAATCATAGAAACCAAACAGGGATAGGGGTAGAGTTTGGAGGAAATAGAGATTGTGTGGGTGAGGAGAAATCTCAGGGAAATTATCACCTAGGTTTTCAAGCAGTAAGAGAAGATTGTGCATCCATGACACGAATACAGGATGTTAATACCAAATGTTACAGAAAAAAACACTCAGAGATCCAAAGCAGGCTCATACAAAATGAAAAAAAATATGAAAACAGATACATAATTCTCAGTCAAAGATTGAGAATATAAATGGGAAGAAATCATCCAGAAAATGAAGCAAGAAAACAAAGACATGGCAAATTAAAAAATGTTAGAACACTAGACAATCAATCCAGGAGTTCCTGTGACTGAAAACAGGTGTTCTTAGAAAAGGAGAGAGAAAAGTAATATTTTTATTACAAAAAAGGATGCAAAAGCACTTTCCAGACCTGAGAAACACAAGTTTCTGTACAAAAAGGACCCAATGAACTCTGAATATATAGAAAATTTAAACTTATGCTGTGGTGTACCCACATGAATACTGGTGACAAAAGATTCTACAACTTTCTAGAAAAAAATTTTTACATTACAAAGGATCAGAATTATGAATACTTCCAGACTTAACCAGAAGTAACAATAAAAAGAAGCTAGCTTGTTGAACAGTGCCCTCAAAATTCTGAAGGAAAAGATGCTCAGCATAGCATGCAGTGTCCTGCCCAAGTGTTGCTCATTGTGGGCGTGGAGGAGAATGTTATGACACATGTTGTCCTAAGACCTGACTCCCTTCCTCCTCGGGAAACTAAGGCACAATGTGCTCCATAGTGAAGGTATCTCCGAGAAAGAAGCAGGCACAGGATGACAAAATTCCAACACAGGACAGAGGGAAGAAATCCCAGGAAATGGGAAGCAAGACTCCAGGGATACAAGTGCCCCACAGGTGGAAAGAACACTTCGTCCTCCTTCTAATATGTTCCCAGGAGAGCCTAATTCAAGATGAAATTCATTCACATCAAGTTTGCGTTAGTGTCTTAGGAGACAGATTAGAAAAGTGAAAGGATATTTTAGGTTCAATCAGATACGTAGAAAGTGAGTGAAACAAGCAGGCTGAAACAAGGTGATTATTAACTCCAGCAAGAACAAATAAATATTCAGGGAAGACACATAAAGTATAGTACCCAGCTTAACTCCAAATACAGATTCTGTCCTTTCTTTGACATGCTTGGAACCAGTTTTTCATATTTTGGGTATTTGCCTGGTTTTGGAATATTTGTATAAACTTTACCAGTTGAAAATCCCTAATCTGAAAATCCAATATGCTCCATAATCCAAACTTTCAAAAATTTGGATTTGTGCGTTAGGAATACTCAAAACTGTAGTATAGAGTAAAAATGTAAAAAAAAAAAAAACCAAACACTGGAAATCTACTTATAAAAATAAATGGAAGGGAGGGATATACAAGCACAGCTAAAGTCTCATTTTCTATAGTTTAGGACCAACAGCTAATATTTAAAGTTTTAAAATTAAGAAGTAGCATTAAAACCTATAATGTGAGCACCCTAAAAGGTTGAGACAGGAGGATTCCAAGCTTGAGTCTAGCCAGGGCAACTTAGTAGTGAATGAGACCTTGTCTCAAAATAAAAAAGTTTAAAAAGGGGGCGTTGTGGTGTAGGGATATGGTTCAGTACAAAGGCCCTGGGTTCAAGCCCTCGTATGGCACAAAAAAAACAAGGCATTAAAATATGGAGGCAGGTGTCAGGAAATTAGATAAAAGACACCATTAAAAGATTATAAAGCTGAAAGCACAACTTAGGGGTTGGTATTTGCAGCAAATATGAAAAGGAGTTAGACTCCAGTCCACATTCACCTACCTATGAAAAAAGTATATAACATTACTATAATGAACTGAAGTAAACAGGTCCTAATAGAAAAAAAAAAAAATCCTTTTACTTCTACGCTAAGACTAATTAGGTTTTCATAGCTTAGAAGTAAGAGGGATTTTTTTTTTCCTATTAGGACCTATGACAGTTGAATTTTTGGTATGTTTGAAGATTGGTGTGTTAATGGCTCAGTCTCAGCTCATTTCTCCAAGGCTTCCAGGGGGAGAAACACCTGGCTTTTTATGTCAGTGGAGTTGGCATGTGTGAGTCTGTGTTCTCCACATCTGCCTTTCTCTACTCGAACCCTTTTGCTCCAGACACATGGTGAGATCTCAGCATCATTTGGAAGAATGAGTAATTTCAGAAAGGAAGACTGTTGGAGCAGTTCAGGCACCGGCAACTGTGGACACTGGCCTTGGAAAGTGTACTGAGCAGAGTGGTGGAGAGATCGTAACTCAGGTAGAATGTCTTCACAGTGTTCAGTGTGTTTTCCCACTGTGGTTGCAGGAAGATGCTGAAACTGTGCGGGGAGACAGAGGACAAGCTGGCTCAGGAGCTGATCCATTTTGAGTTGCAAGTGGAGAGAGATGTGATCGAGCCTCTGTTTCTACTGGCTGAGGTAAGACTTGGGACTGAGGCTGGGCCCGAGTGACTCGGGGTGCAGATCTGAAGCCGCCTTGGTCAGTGTGCTTCCAGGCTCATTGTTGTCTTCCTTCACTCTATTCCCTGACGTTGGTTTTCGCCAAGACTCATTATCACCCAGTCCCATTGTCAAGATTCCCAAATATGGCAAGCCTCTCAGCTGCACGCAGCCTCCTGCTCTCATCTGCGGTCTCCTCTCTTGGCCTTCTGATGGGTGAAGATGCAGAGCTGCCTGGCTGCTCACCTCCTTCCACACCCAAGTCCCACCTGCCGTACCACCCTGCCCTGTCCTAACTCTTCAGGGAAGTTAGTGGTGCCTCCTCAGAAGGAATTGGGGCACCAGGGCCCAAGAGCCTCTGCGAAACCTCTTGCAGTTGATGTTTACATGGGTCTTTTTTTTTTTTTGGACCTTAAGGAACAGTAAATTAAACTTTTTTTAAAAAAGCTATCTTAATGTCTATATGACAGTTTGGCTAACTTCCACCAAATAAAATTATAGCAAGGGAGACAGAAAGGGTTTGGGCAACTTATTTACCTAAAACCAGGACCCTTCCCAATTGCACTTCTTTGGTTCTACAAAACCCAAGCAGTGCTCGCTCCTGAGGCCCTTTGCAATGACTCAAACATTCTACATCTGCATGGTTTGGTAGCCCCCAGCCTCACGTGGCTGTAGGAGCTTGAAATGTGTTTAGTGTGACTTAGAAATTCACTTTTATTAACTTCATGAGTATTACATAGTCATATGTGATTGGAGGCTACTGTCTGGACAGTGTTGCCCTCTACCATGTCTGGGTTCTTCTCCAGGCCACTTTTTTTACTTCTCCCTATCCTGGTACTCTTTTCTGTATTTTTTGTATAGATAAACAATTACTATCTGCTAAAAAGCAATCAATGGGAAATCCTAGGTATGACATTTTGACTTAGACCAGCTCTGAGCTTCTCAGATTCCATTGTATGGTAGGTTATTCCATAGCTAGGAGCATCCTTATGAGCCCCTCATAAGGTAGGCAGGGGCTCTGACCAAACCCTGAAGCAAACTCAGGGCAAGGTTCATCCAGAGGCAGAGCTGCAAGTGTCTTGGAAAATTGTGTTGGTGCACATGCTGCCCCAGCCCTATCTGGGGGCTCTGTGCAGACTCAGGCTGCCTGTAAATAGCTGTGCTTCTTCCTAACAGAAGTTACTGCCCATACTACGTCACTAATCCCTGCTTAGTAGAATGAATAGAAAGTACTGCATAAACACTGGGTATTTCTCACATTTTTCCCCTTATATATATATATATAAAACTGCATAGTCTGAGATGCTTTTAGTTCAATTTATGGCCTCCTTTTTAATTCTCACATCCTGCCCTACTTTTGCTGGGCCTGGAACCAAAATCCTGAACTGGAATGTTCAGGGAAGTCATTTTTAGAAAGAAAAATATAAAAAGAGCATCTCCATACAACCAATATGGAAGAACTCATTCTGAGAAAAGCCATAATGGCAATGCTTACTCATGATTTACTCTAGAAAAATCTTATGTTATTTTAATAAATATACATATATGCCTACTTTATATCTATCAATATACAGTATATATCCTATCAGCAGTCTTCATAGTATCTTAGGTCTCCTGAGGCTGGTGTTCCTCCCTTTGCTGCTGTTCATTTTTTGATAGGTCTGCATGTCAGGCCTGATTGCTTGACTTACCTCCTTTTCCCTACTTTTGGCCCTTTGCATGTAGAGAGAGATGTGATTAAGCTCCTGCTTTTTGCTGGCTGCAAGAAGAGCAGGAACGTGGCCAGGCCCAGGGGAGCTGGATGATGCAGATCCTCTGAGATGGTCTGAGCTGATGGGATTGACAAGTGTCCAGAGAAGGGAAGGAGAGTCCAGCTCAGCAACAGAATCAAGAACTTCTCTAGTGTTGATCAGAGGGTGCACAGTGTCACTTGTGCAAGATGAGTAAATTCTGGAGGTGTAACAGTCAGCGTGGTGTGACTATAGCTGACAGCAGAGCAATGTGTACTTGAAATTTGCTGACAGGGTAGATTTTAAATGTTTTTGTCACATATGCCCACAAATGAGCACACATATATGTATACACAAAGAAAATAATAGTCATTCAAGGTGATAAATATGTTCATCAGTTTAATTGTAGTAATAATTTCTCAGTGTATGTATACCAAAACATCATTTTACCCCAGAAGGATATATAGCTCTTATTTGTTTATCACTGTACCTCAGTGAAGAAAGAGGGAGATTTCATCCAAATATAAAGATTGGAAGACTTTAGGCAAATTTGCTAGTGACAGTCAATAGCTCTTAAAAAGATGTTTTGAAGTGTAGTTCTTAATGGAATTCCCTTGAGCTTCGGTCTGATTACATCATGTCTCGTTAACCACAGGTGGAAATCCCAAATATTCAAAAGCAGAGGAAACATTTAGCAAAGTTGGTGCTGGACATGGACTCTTCGCGAACCAGGTAGAGTTTCTTTGCTTTCATGTCTGCTTCTTTGAAAGGATAGTGATCACATTTGGGGATGGGTTTGTGTTGAGGGGAGAGTGTCTTCCTATTTACTAAGTTTTTTTTTAACACCTACTGTTCACCAAGCACTGGTAGTCAGCGTGGACTGCAGATGCCTAGTCCCTCCTCTCATGGAGGCTGCAGTTGAATTTTGAAGATATACATTGCCCAAGTAAATAAACAGGATAATTTTAGGCAGTTGTAGTCATGAAGAAGACAACGTGGGATAACTTTGGAAGGAAATAATGGAAAAAGAGGCATTGGTAACTGGTGAGAAGAATTAAAGAAGAATTTTTGAGTAAGTATCACTTGGCCTGAGGTAAAACAGTCAGGAACAGGCCCCTATGCAAAGCTCTGGTGCAGACTATGTATAGCAAAGGAAATAGCATGTGCAAAGACACTGAGGTGGGAATAAATTGGCATATTTAAGAAAGAAGGCTGCTTGGTTGGGGTGGAAGGAGCAAGTAAGACCCAAGGCGTAGAACAGATATGTGATCATCTGTAATGAGGGAGCATTTCTAATTCTGAGGATACACTTCTCTGAAGCTTATGGTATAGACGTCTCCTTTCTGTAGCCGATCTGTAAAGCTGTGGCCCTTTTGATAGGCCTGAAGTTCCTGTAGGGCTGTTCTTCTGCACACGTCTGTCAGAGTCCACTAGAAATTTCTTCTTGCGGCAGAGGAGTTTTTAAGGCCTGAAGTGGCATTGGCTATGGCTGTCATATGTCGAGACTGCATACTTGCCCTTTGGGGTGTGTGTGTGCGCACGTGTGCAAGTGGAAAGAATACAAGTTTGTTAATATGAAAGGAACTATTTGGTTCTAGCTTAGGTCTTTTGCAGGTCAGTCTAATCATCTCATCTTATTTTAATTTTCTTGAAATAAGGGAACAAAACCAGAATGTACTTAGTCAGAGAGATGCATGATAAAGAGTCTTGCAACAGGACTCGGAAGGTCAGGTACCAAAAACTAGATCAGCTATTTTCTAGACCTGTGACCTTGGTCAAATCACTTAATGTCCTACAATATCCATTTCCTCACCTGTGCATAGGGGAAAACATTTGTGGTTTGATGTGATGAGGTCATTTTGAGTATCAAAATGTCACATCACTTCCCCAGTGCTATACAGAAGGAATCCTATACTATAACTACTTGGTGCACTGGAATTATGTGTCTGGAAGAATAAGAGATATTGGGCAGTTCCCCAGTGTTTAAAAATAAAACAAAATTATGTCAGCAGAGAAACAGGAATTTTTTTAGTTAACTTGCTGTTTCTCAAACTTCAGTCCACTTGATTGGTTTTTGCTGTTTGTACCTATGCATCATTTTTAAAAGTTGGTTACTATTTCAAAATAAGTCTAGTTTAGAAAGAACCCTTGGGCCAGGTGTATAGCTCAGCGGCACAGTGCCTGCCTAGCAAGCATAAGGTCCTGAGTTTGATTCCTGGTACCAGAAAAGAAAAAGAACTCTCAAAGCACTACCATAAACTGGAAAGCAGTGCCCATTGCTATAAATGTTAGACAAGCTTAAAAGTGAACAGGATGAAAGCAAAGCCAGTGTTATTTCAATTTTAGTTCCTGTTGGCTATGAAAGGCTTGCTTCCCTTTGTGAGAAAGGAAGAAGACATTGAAGGACTGTTAAAATTATCCTGATCCTCATCTGAGGCCATCTCCTTAGACGAATTGGAGGAATGGACAGCAGGATGAATAAGGAGTGTGGATTTGCTGTTACTGCTGTGCCTTTGGATTTCCTAAAATTGCATAACACAAAGGTTCATGTATCATATTTTGGGAGTTGTAAGCTGATTGGAGTGATGTTGACTGTCCTATTGCCATGAAAATTGGTTTTAGGAGATAGGAGATAGACACTATGTTCCTAGGTTTGTGGAGTGATTTCCTTCTTTGCTTCTGCAAGGGAAACTTGAATTTCTAGCATGGAGCTTCTGGTCAGAGGGCAGAATGCTAGTACTGAAGCATGTTATTAGCATCCCCACTTACATATTTTTTTAAATTTTTTTATGAGAAAAGGGGTTATGAAGAGAATTACCCAAGAGATAAGATGGATGATGTATCTCCGAAGGGAGCATTTCTGATTCTTAGGTTGTACTCAACCTTTTTTTGAAGCTGATGGCATACGTGACTCTTTTCTACAGTCATTCTATAAGCCTGAGGTTATAGCCATGGTCACATCTTGTCTAATGTTGTATTTAATGGGGAGACCCAGGGGAATGTAGGTTCTGAAACCCCAGGGAAATGTCATTAGGGACCCTTTATCCATGACTTATCAAACTTTTTCATACCTTGAAGTTATCATCTTCTGTGTACTAGAATCTGGTAAGGAAATCTATACCTCCTCGTCTATATTTCTGTTCTTATAACCTCCAAATTGGACTCTTTATAGGCTTTTCTGTTTAGACTAAAAGAAGTCCTTGTAGATTATTCTCACATAAACCTGATTCATGTTGTTTTTCTCATCAGTGGCTTTTCATAACCCATTTTGTGTAGTTGTGAGTTTGGAGATAGGCATTACTTTGGAAGGATTGTCGGCAGTCCAGTTTCTCAAAAACTCAGGTGACTTCCCTTCAGGTCTTTGCTACAACGTCTGGTGGAAGGTTTAACCCAAACCCCCCAAGTTACAGATTCTCCAATCTCTCTGTCCTAGGCTCCAGGATAAAAGGATCATTCTTAGCAATTATGTTCTCTTTCTTCCCACTTTACTCTCAGACTAGCCACTGCTAGCCTGAGCCAATCTGTTTTGTAGGATCTTGCTGAAAGCTAGAAGCAGCAGCCAACGTAGTCCAATCTCCTGCCATTTCCTGGAACACTGTAATCTTAAATATGTGAGCACAGTCTCCCCAGATACAGTGGTGACATTCAGACCAAATTTCAGACTAATATTAAATAGCAAGGATCACTAAATACTCTTCTGGAACAGCTGAGTTCTCAACCTCCCCATCCTTAACCCACACTATTTTTCCATGAAGCCAACTGTAGATATTAGGTTCTCATTTTGCAGCAGCCTGATTGGAATTAAAAGTTTGGTTTAGTCCTGTATGTCCTTTGTAAACTGTACTGTTGAATTCAAATCAATATACTTCTGTATATTTCACATGGAGATACTGCCTTTTAAGACATGCAGGATTCTTCTGTTATTATCAGCACATCTTGATCAGTAATTCCATGACTGGATCTTTGAAATCTACTGCACTCTAATGAGTACTGAATTTACCCAGCTGATTTATTCCGTGTTTAACGAGATCTAAATCAAATGTGCATATTTGTCGCCATTCAAGTCAATCTGGTTTGTCTGTTTCAAAATCCAATGAAATAGACTTTAAGATCCTCAGAGAAAAATGGATGCTTTGAAGATGAATAAAAGATTATTGTATTAGTCAGCTTTTCATTGCTGGGACAAAATGCCTGACACCCACAGCTTTAAGGAGTTTATTTTGGCTCTGAGCTTCAGAGGTTTCAGTCAGTGGTCAACTGGCTTCAAGACAGGAACATCATAGCAGAACAGCATGGTGGAAAAAACGCAACTAATTCATGACATCTGGGAAGCAGAGGGCAAGGGAAGAGCCAGAGAAGAAGAGGCCAGATACAGTTCCCAAAGTCAGACTTCCATTACTCACCCAGCCATACCCTAGTATGTGTGCTTTACTAATCTTTTAGGCGTCTCCTAAGCCAATGAAATTGATGATCAGAATTAATCATCACAGTTGTATATGAGAAGAATGGAGGTAACCTAGGAAGTTTATGCTGAACTAAAGCTTGTGAGTTGAAATGAATGTGAGTAGCACAGAAACACCGGTTTGGATTTGGCAGCTGTTGAAGAAGGAGGTCTATTCTTGCCTAAAGCCACCTCACTTTTTCCTAGACATGTACAGCAAAATTAAACCCTCTGAGCACAGAATATGTTCTGTTTCTGTTCTACAGCTGCCTGTGGGTTTTACTGACTGAATTGTATCTCCTCAAAATTCATCTGTTGGAGTCCTAACCACCAATGTGCCTATATTTAGAGACAGGATCTTCAGGGAGTAATTAAGTTTAAATAAGGCATAAGGGTGGGGCCCTTGTTTGATATAATTGGCAGTCTTATAATGAGGAGAGATCTGTTTCCTCATGCACTCAGAGGAAAGATGATGTGAGAACTCCGTGAGATAGAAGTCATCCACAAGTCAAAAATAGATAGCTTACCAGTCTTTTGGAACCTTGATCTTGGACTTCCAGCCTCTAGAAGTACAAGAAAATAAACTTCTATTGTTTTAGCCACTCAGCCTATGGAGCTTTGTTATGAGTCTGAGTGGACTAATATACTTGTTTCCTCTGGAAGAAAATGAAGTAGTGGAAATAAGACCAGAGAGTTTAGGGAAGCATATTGGGCCACACATGAAAATCAAGAAGAGGATATCTAGAGTCCAGTGGAATTGTGGAGTTGTGGCACTCTTGAGTACCTCTGGGACTGGTAGTATCTTTCACCTCTCCTTCCCTTCATACGGGTCTTTTCCTTACATCTACCATACTTGTTTCCTGGTGAATGAATGTCCCTTGGTCTCATGTCTCTCCAATAGGAGCCCTTTCCTTTTGTTCTAGTTCTACTAATGCAAATGAAGAGCTCTGTTTGTAGCTTACATACTCGCCTCCTTGGCCTGTCACTTGGCAAAGGTGGTGAAGGATGGCCAAGGCTGTGGTTTGCATCTGGGGGCCCTCTATAGGTCATTCACTGCCTGGGTCCTGCAAAAAATGGCAACTCTGTTTTGGACCATGCAGAAGAGCAGAAGCATCCCCTCTGGGGGTGAGTAGGGGATCCTAGTGACAGAACAGAGAAGAATGGAAAGATGAAACAGCAAATATCCCACTAAAGCAGCTTTTGCGTTTGCCTCCCAGAAATTCTCCTTCTGGACTTCTCGTTTGCTAAGCTGATCTTACTTTGGCCTTTCTTCTTCACTCCCCTAACAGTCCACATGTCTCTTTTTTATCTTTTTCTCTCTTCCAGCCTATGGAAAGCTGTGTCCTGTTTTCACTTTCCAAGATTATATAGTCACAGCTTTCTGTCCCCATAGAAGAAGGGTGTCACATCAACTACTTTAGTGGGAACAAATTATCTTTCTTTTTGAATGTTGAAGCTCAGACTCTTCTCGGGCAACATCTATAGTTCCTGTAGAGAAACATTGCGCCCTGAGTTTATTTGTAGAACAGACAACTGGAAAGACCGCCACACCCTGAAATACATGGTTCATGTCACTTTTCTCAACCAGTACTGCTTCTACAATTTTTTTCCAAATTCTCCTAGATTAGTACATTTTTTTCCACAAGGAGACCATTATTTTGGCATTTTGCTGTCATTGTGTTATATCAAGATGGATTGTGTTGCACGTACAGTTCCCTGTAGGTAGGGGAAAGGTGTATGTTTTTTAAAGTACCAAGATATTGACTAAGGGACAAAATTTAGAGAAAAATTTAGAGGGAAATAGGGAAAAAAGAGTTAACTTGGGGAAATGTCTTCATTTTAATTTGTATATACTAAATATAATCCTAGTTTTTTAAAATAATCCAACACCTGTTTGCAAAGCCAAGCCACCAAAATCAGGCTAGTGTTTATAATATGTATATATAATTTACATATTTACATATGAGTTCGCTGTTTTCCTTCAAGTAACCTGAGCAGATGGTGGTTGTAACTTGATCCCATAATCATCATGGAGATATATTTATTGTCTCAGATATAAATTATAGCTGTGGCATCTCATATTTTGTTTGCCAAAAAAAAATCCCACAACACTTTAATACTTTAATGAAATAGTTTAACCTGGGAAGTATTAATCAGCTATATCACTGAGTACAGCAAAGCTTTATAAGAAAGAATTACTCAGGGATTCCTAGTAGTCCTTTTTTGCTACCTTATTTTCATTTAGATTTTGAAAGCACATTGGTAGAATATTTCCATTCTAATTTGCCCTAAATTCTTATCTTGGAATCAGGAATGTTTCCCAGGACATGTGCCTGTTTCTAGAACATCGAGCCAGCTTGATGTCCCAAAGCCTTTCTAAAGTGATTTTCCCGTTATTACAGTGTTTAAGTGAGAGAGAACCTTTTAGATGGCTACTATTTGCTATTAACAGAGACACCTTTATTTTCCCTTTCTTTAGTTTGCATTGTGTCATGCAGCCCTGCACTCTTCTGTTTTTCCTGCAGATAACAGAAGAGAAAATAAAACTGAGTGGAGAAAGTCCCTAGGGATAGACGGTTGCCTGTTAAGAGGAGGGAACTTCCCACTTTCTGCCCTCCCGTCGGAGGCTGCACACTAATGGACTGGAGCCGGAGCGTGCCGAGCGGCCCTGTCTGCTCCAAACATCCCTGACGGTCATGATGTTAGGAGAAATTAGTCTCTTGTCACATTTTTCAGAGGAGTCCACATGAAAATTTCCAAATTCTCTTGTCAGTTAAAACATGTAGCAGCCCATAACCCATATTCTTACCAGAGCCCCTCTGCCTAAGGCAAGGATCAGTTTCTCTTAGGGCAGCCACACCACACCCACTTACTCAGCCCTTCCCTTCCTCCCTGCCTTCCAAGACCAAAGCCAGGCTTGGCTGCCACTTACCACCCTGATTACGCTATTACTACAGAGTGGGAAAGCTCTGTGTCACACAGCCCTTTTATAGGTAGAAAAGATCAGATCCAGTGGAGTAGTTTTTAAGATAATGCCCTGTTGGGCTTGTTTTTCTACTTGATGGCGCCTCTGAGCCATTGAGTTCACACACTCACTGGAGGAGGAACCCCTGCTGAGCCCAAATCTAGCTACTAATTTCCAGGGTCGTTGGATACTTCTTTTTTTTTTTTTATTTTAGAAATAAAAGGAGGAAAATATTAACAGACCGACAACATTTTACAAAATAGCATAGGATCAGTACAGACATTACAGAGTTACAAACAGAGTGGTAGGGAATTAACAATGCTTATTGTATTACATA